CGCCAGGCGCATGCGCAGGAGCCCCTCGCGCCTCTCCGGATTCCCGCCCTCGGCGCCTCAGGGAGCCCCGCCGGGTCGGAGCCCAGGTGAGGAAAGCTGAGAGGAAAGGCAGGAAGGGAAAAAGCAGGGGCGGGGGAAAGAGGAAAAGGGGAAAAAAAAAAAGGCTTTGGAAGTTTATTGTCTTTGATAAAATCTCAACTGAAAGGGGTGGACTCTGTGTTAACAGCTGCAGAAATGCACAAGAACCTATTTTCCATGGGGAAGTCAGGTGGTTCCGTTGTTGGGTTTTTCTTTCTTCACTAGACATTAAATTAGAATTACGTGGAATGACACAGGATGGAAGGTCCTACCCGAGAGCAAAGTCCAGTGAGAGTTTTGGTAAAGCAACGTTCTGATTAATTAGCTCAGAATGAATTCTAGTTAAGAAAAGCTTATTTTCCTATACAAAATTACAATACAGAGAACGCGTACAATTACAATACAGGGGGTATAACTGTTAGTAGCTATCAACTAGAACAGAAATTTCATAGTAAAAAACTTCATGGAAATTAAAATAAGTCAATTTTCTTAAGCTGTAAAACTTGAGACAAACGCCAAGTTCTAGAAGAGACACTTTCAGATTCTTACCATAAAATCCATATTTAAAAAAATGAATTTGGTTAGGAAAATGAAGCAAGTTCTTTTAAAACAATGTCACATCCCAATGGGCATAAGTAAAAAGAACTCAACTGCGTGAGGCTGAGAGGTAGAGAGGTATCATTGTAATCACAATCTTCTATTGGTTCCAGGGGTTTTTCTGAGGTAATTAGCTGTGTGTCAAGTTGTATAAACAATAGTATTGGCAAAAGAGCAACATTGACAAATTACACTAATGACCTCTTTCCTCTCATCAATAGGTCCTAAAAACTTAATTAGACGCATCCGAATTAACACTTCCAGGGTCTCCAGCAGGTGAAGTGATTGATGAAGGGGTGGTAGCATCCTGCCAGCTGCCATTAGCCTGAAGGGAGAATAAATATATGTTTTCATTAAATCTTTAAGAAACTACTTGCAGACCACAAAGTATGCCTTTCTATGTTTACATCTTCCCAGCGACAGTGCTTTTGAAAGGAAATAACTACGTATCAGCTCTGGCAAAGCACAGTCCACAAATACCCCGTAAAACCTCTTCCCCCTGCTGAGATTTTATGGTGTTATTCTTATTCCTAGTGCCATCTCCTTAGGACAAGAATTAACTGAAGTGCACGAATTTTCTGGTGACCAAAGCCAGAACTTTAAATCAAGTCTCTGAGAGGGAGAGGCTGGTGTATTAAACAACATCTTTTCCAGCTTTTTCCTATTCCTATATCAGACAGGAATTAAAAAAAAAAAATCAACATTTATTCACAGATCATTAACCAATCTCTGGCAGAATCTGTGTTTCTAGTAAGTAATACCTCAGTACATCTTACATCTATGCGCTGCGTCGTATACAAAGGATTCCCCACAATTGTGTCATATCTTCCTGTCTGGTGTATGACATGATGCAAGGAATCCATCTAGAACAAGATCCCACACAATGAGAACAATGAGGATAAAAAGTCAAGTTAACAAATGCAGTAGGACATGGTACAGATCTATTGGGCCAAAAAATTCTTTGAAGAAGGGGCAGGTTTTCTTGCAGGAAGACAAGCCTTCTCTGTAGTTCTTGCTATTAACTGAGCTATACCTAGCTCTTGAGCTAGCTCGTTCATTATCAAGCAGAATTAGAGCCTATCACTTATAGCTTTTATGACAGAGCAACCAATTTTATGCAGTTCAGATGGATTTAGAAATTCAGCAGAAAGCTTAAAATGAGTACTGTTAACCATGAATCCTAAGCAAAGTTCTCCTTATATGGAACAGACCAGCTCTAAAATGAGAAAATCGATTCATTAATGTAAATTTAAAGGGATAGAAGAATAACGGTAGGTTAATTTAGGTATCAAGTTAATTCTGGAAGAGAAAGTTCCAGTTCCAAGAGGAACATTTGAGCAAGTTTGTTTCTTGACTCGTTTGAGAAATTTGACTCTAGTCATTTCTGGCCAGCACTGGCTGGGATGCAAGAGCCAGAAAAATCCATCTCTATCTGGTATTAAGAAAATCTACTTTAAAAAAATAAAAACAAGATTGTGGAATCCAACCCGCCCGTTTGAAGCGCAGTCAATTAGAGCAGGCTGGGGTTTTAATATCTCCAAGGATGGAAACTCCACAACCTCCCTGGGCAACCTGTTCATACCGTATAAAGGACGGAGAAATGGAATTTTAACATTTACGTCACTGCTGAAAGTATGTTTTTTGTGGGTTTTTTCCCTTACTGACCTGTGACTGCACATTGCCTCCCACTGGGGAGCTCTGGTAGGAAGTCAATGACTGCAAGTTTATAAACGAATCTCCAGAATTTGTCATCTTAAAAGAGCCAGAGGAAGCTGAAAAAAAAAAAACGAACATCTTTTAATAAAACCCACCAAAAATGGTTCTTTAGTGAGTATTACATTATTTAAAAGAAAAAGAAATCCTATGACCATTTCAATCACCATCTTTCAAGCAGACAGACTCTTCACGGCACTCTCACTCACCTGAATTTGGTGTAGATGGAGAATTTGCCTGGTTGCCTTGAGCCACGACATTAGTTGCATCCACTGCTGTTTTTGCAGCATAAATATTAGCTTCTTCCTGGAACTTCCCCATGTTTTTTTTGTATCGAATTCTTTTGTTACCAAACCAGTTGGAAACCTGGAGGCATATATCGCTGTTAAGCATTTGATCAATTTATTACGTTTTCCACTATATTCGCAAGTTACCAGCAAAGGAGATGTTTTAAACTAGGCTTCAAGCAGAAAATACCTATTACTAAACACTTCAGAATAACCTAAACCCCATTTAAAGTACCAGTGACTGAAGCCTGTTGCTAACTACGGGGGAAAAAAACCAAATACATTATTTGATGAGAAGAAAAAAAAAGTCACTCAATTCCTGATAAAACACTTCATACCTGTGAAACTGTGATGCCACCTTTCTTTGCTAGCTCTTCTTTGGCCTCTTCACTGGGGTAAGGATTACTCAGATGCGAATAAAAATATTCATTCAGTACTTCCGTTGCCTGTTTGCTGAAGTTACGTCGTTTACGCCTGGAAAAACATTAGTTATTCCTATTTAAATGGTGTTATAGAGTAGACTGGACAGAGTACCTTGTTGGTTTTTTTCCCCCTCTAAAGTACATTTGGTTTGAAGGAAAATGTAAGAATTGAGTGGAATTAAATAGATGTTGATGTCAAAGAAGGCATAACAGGTGGCAAATTCTTAATATTTAAACAAGATCGACACTGGGAATGACAGACTTGAGATTTCTTACGCAGTCACTGGCATCAGGCAAGAAAAGTAGTTCAGGCTTAAACATCTGTTATCGCTAGATCATGTTTTCTCATACCTTGCGTCAAGAAAGCGTGAACGCAGGATCATTACTGCCTCACACGTGCTCTGCTTCAGTTGCATCTGGATGGTGCTGAATTTGCCGTGGATTATGTTCACCATGCGCTCTATTTCTTTTGGTGAAATTGGTCTTGTTCTACTCTGTTCCCTAAGCAGGTTCATAACGTGGGTGGTGAACTCACTGCAGGCCTGAAAATACACACATTTGTATCGACAAACAATAAAATACCCTAGAATTTGTTTCCCCAACAAGAATATATATCCAAAAACTTTAGAGGAGTTTCCATGTTTCAGCTTTACTCTATTTACTCTTAAAAACGGCAACAAAGATAAACGAGACATTTATTATCTTTAGTTTGATGTCCAGTCCCTCTATCTTCACCTTACTTCTGTAACACTGAGATAAGTTTTCAACTCAATTTGATATACTCGCGTTCACCTGGATTCATTATACCTCCTGTTCTGTTCTTAAAACCGACACCAAAGAAAAAACGGTTATTTTTAATTGAGATGATAAAAACTCTTCCATGCAGAAAGATCACCTGTTCATATTTCTCTAGCTCAGAGTGGTATATCTGTCGGATCTGTGACAGCTTGGCCCTGTAGTCAGAGTGTTCAATGCTATTGTCATTTGGACAGCCACCTGATGTTGCTGCTACAGCCATCGGTCCTCCTCTTCCTCTTTTCTCGGGCCCGGAGACACCCTCTGCCAGCAACATGTTATCTAGTCTCATTAGCTGAGCATCTGGGGGATCTTCTTCCTGAATACCGCGAATACTTAACACTAGATAAATATAAAGAGGGAATCAAAAGATTATTTCCGAACCAGGAAAGAGCATCCACTTCAATTCTGGCAAAGCATTTAAACGGTCTTCAGAGGTTTTAGCAGGTCTTGAGCTCAAGAAAAAAAATAAGGAAGCATTTAACAAAGCCACAGTGCGACACGTCAGAACAAAGAGGACATTGTTCGGATCAAGAAACACCAAGACGCAAGGCAAGTTTTCAGATGCATGCAGATCATAAGACTACAGGGGGTCATACTAGTTCATACTAGATTTGGAAATTATTTTAGAGGTCTGTAAAAATTACAACGAGGTTCTTACAGAGCAGATGCCCCCGTATCAGCCTGCTGCCTGGCTCCTTGCACGGTCCTCAACAGCGTTCAGCTCTAGCTTGTGCAGACAGACTATGGTGACGGACAAAAGGCCTGAGCCGCTGGGACAACTGCTGTGCCTCCACGTCCAGAGACGGAAACGAACACCACGCTAGTGCAAGAACCCGTTGGAATCTGTACACAAGGTGTGAGCTTCACCTCATCCGCTTTATATGCCATGATACAACCATACTGTACAGCAGCAGGCTACAAACTGAAGTCGTAACAGTGCTGAATTTTCACATCTATTCTAATCTATTTAAAAATCTATCAAAATCTGAAACGGCATGAAAAGAATGCACTGCAAGCCATTCAACAAACCCAGACTGCAGCAGTCTATATGCTCAGATTATTCAAGTTTGATTCCAAACATTTATTTTAAAAAACTTAATTTCCCAAATTTTTTTTTACAATTTATTATGAGCTTCCCTTTTTAAAAAACGTAAGAACTCATAAGATGTTGAGTCGATACAAAAAATGCCAACAACTTTTTGGCTTTTAATTTGCTTTTAATTGCTAGACAATTTTAGTTGGATGAACAGTTGGTCTCAAACTTGTGAAGCTACAAAATTCAAATGACCTTTTCTAAATTGTAATTGGCAGGTTAACGGGCTATTACATTCCCTACCAAAGATAAACACAAATGATCGCTTGTTGTGAGGACAGGAGAACAATGTGTATGTACTGAGACATTAAACATATGCATTTATAATAATTTTCAGCATTTCCTAGGCAAAAGAATAGCTCATCTAAAAAAAAAAAAAAAAACAAAACAATAAAAATTTTAAACACGCAAGCAGCCTAAACTTACAATCACATAGCTGAACTTTGCATTTTGCAGGCTGTACAGAAATTACTACAACAGAACTGAAGAGAGCTTTGGAGTGGCTGCAGACCTTCGGTCTGTCACAGCAATCCGGTCTTTTCCAGAACATCCCCCATCTTTTTGCAAGTGGAAAAAGGTAAGGCAAACGTAGCTATAACGTAGTACGTGGGTAACTGTTGAACTCAAGCTAAGACACTGAGAGAGGAAACTGTTGACTATTTAAGAAGTTAATGGCTTTTCTAACTCATCATGGAATAAAAATTAGTACCTTTTTACACACACCCTTTACTGAATGAATGGTACAAGAAATGAAACGCAGAAAAAAAGGATTTGTTGTTGATTTTTTGTTTTTAAAAATCGCCAGTTCTCCTTTTTTCCAGGAGACCCAGCAGAGAGTTCAGCAATGGCCATTTGCTTTTAGTCTTTTTGAATAAAAAACACATCAAACTATTTGGATTCAGTGCAATAGATATTTTGGTGTCACCTTCTCATTCGAATGTGCTTCTGCCAAACATCTTTTTATGCACATTATGATGCATATCAGAGTACCTCATGTTGAAGTCAAGCTCCCAGCTGCAGCTTAATTTTATGTCACTTGTCTAATTATGGTAATTAGACATTAGTTATCATCAATTACACATAAGCTCATCTCAAGTTGACTGCTGAAAAGCATGTATAAAGCACCTTCCCAGTCTCAAGGGAAGAATCTGGTCGGCCGGCTCTAGCAAGTCACAAGAAACTAGAAAGGAGTTAACTATTATCAACGTATCGTAAACTGCATTTCCAACCTAGTAGTTCAAACTTTTATTTAATAAACTCTTTCAAAGGTGAACAGACCTAAGACTCCATGAGCGCAAGAAGCTCGGTCTGTTCGACCCGCTCCATCAGGTTGAGCTTAAACTTTCGGCATCTTAATATATATGACGGTTAAAACACAAGTTCTACATAAATCATTGCCACAGATATTATTTTTAAATCACAGACATCATCTCCAGGAATGGATACTTTTTGCTTCAACTTCAGTTTTGCTCCTAGTATCTGTGTTTGCTTCAGGTAGCACCCAGATCCTACTTCCAAGTACAAGAGCTGCAGTTGTTCACCTACCAACCTTCCAGAGCTGATAATCTCAAAAGATGGCGCATGGGAGAGCAAAACCATCGCAGCTGCAGGAATGCTGCGCTCGCACAGGCTCCTGCAACTCTCTTTTGACAGTCTGGTAAAAGCAATTCCAGAAGTACATGCTGTGCCGTTAGGGGTTTTGTCAGGGTAGCTGCATCTACCCTGCAAGCTTTTGGCATGCGTTGTGGGTCAGGCGTCACCCATTTCTGCATACAGTCCTGAAAATTATGCCAGCAGAAGTTTGCAGTCTGCATGGCTTCTGGAAGAACTAGATTTCATTAAACCACCAGCATTCCAAAGGAAATAAAAAACGAGGAGGAAAAAAAAAATTACCATGGTAAAGAAAAGCATCTCGATCAATACCACCGTGTTACATATGCCTGTCCTTACATGCCACTTATTACCTACTGGCTCACAATACTTCGAGGAGAACGCTTCTCTAGAATGCTTGCCTCTCTCGGTAGCCTTTTGGCCATCAAATTTTTGCAGTTCCCACAAAAGCTTAAGAACGTATAGCAACTCTATTGGTACCCAAGGCTTTCAGTCAAGATGCCAAGAGACTGGAGTTATGGCATAACCAGTTATGACATAGTCAGTGTTTTAAGCATGACTTAGAAAGTCCTTGCGTAACAGTAAAATCCTTCACAATCCATCACTTTCATGGATGTTTAAGAAAAACCCAACACTGGCTCAATAAGCCTGAAGAGTCCCTCCCGTCAGCTGTACTAACATAATGTTGTGCATTCTCTGGCACATCACCTACCAGATATTCATCAAATATGTAAAATAATTATACTAAGCAAAATGAAATTCCCATCATTTCTAATTAATCTTTAATTAAATACATCAGAACCTAAGGTGCTGAAGCCTCACTCAGTATGCAAATGCAATCATTACAATATATTTACATCTCATTAATTAAAGATTTGCAGTTCTGTAATGAACTGTACAAGATCCCTGGTACCAAAATAAGTGATGCACACTTTGCTTAGACTTGCCTTCCTTTCCAGATTTTCCTTCAAAGAGCAAGCAACAAACGATAACACACAATAGAGCAAGAACAGCACAATAAATGTGTCTATTGGGTATAGAATACACAAAGTTAGAACCAAAATCTGATGTGTTAGGGCCAGAAATGAAGAGCCCATACTGTATGAAGTACAAAACGCCCACGGAGAATGGAAGAAGGTAGGCAGCCGGGTGCTGGAGCTGCACCCCTCCTTGTCTGCATCTCTGTGTTTCCCAGATGATCCCATCACCTATGTTACACTTGCAAATATTTATCCTATAACTAATGGTAAATACTGACTCCTAATGTTTTATTCAGACAAAAGGGTTTCCTCAATTTGACAGTCCGAAATCACCTGTTAGGTGAGAAGGCAGGAGCATATTTTTTTAATAGCAGGTCACCTAAAACCACCACAAACCCCTTCTGAACTACTTCTTAATGCTGCCAAAATAACACACACACACACACACACCCCATGTACTACCAAGCAGCTTTTTCACCCACATGACACCCCATTTTTCAGTTAGCAGTCCTCCGTGGGGATACCAGCCTCCCAAACATCCCGCTACAGAGGATGTCTCAAAGCACTGTCACTTGGAATGCTTTCTCCAAATCCAAGAGAGAGTCTCGCACGCTGGGAGAGAGAAAGCGAATGGGAACAGAAGACAAAAGCCAGCGGGGCTCCGAGTGCCGAGGAGCAAGACTCAGCTACGTAAGAGTGTCAACAAACTCAGCAACAAAGAGAAAGCATGTTCTTCGGCCACGCCGCTTGCCAAGTTTGATAACCGAATGAAAAGGTACCCGTCGAATTAACCTAAGCAAGTGCCGGCACATTAAAGGACGGACAGAGGTTGCAGCTAGCAACCACAAGAAACAATAAAAAGCGGTAGTCCATGTTACAGTGCTGCAACAAACACATTCCCCACCACAGGCCAGAAATGCACAATAAGAGTCTCACTGTGCAGTGTGTTCCACAGAAGTGGGTAGAAATACACTTTCCCTGCCCCAAGGGGCCTGAAGCCCATCACAGACTACTGTCTTCCCAGCACGGTATAATCAGCAGAGAAGATAAACTCTGAAATTTCATATTCAGCACCAAAAGCAGGCATCATTAACACTACAGATGTTATTTCTGATTTTAAGATGGAATTATGCCATGTTTCAATTTGTATACCTTGAATCGTATCTGAAGTGTAACCCAACCAGCAAAAAGCCTATTTGTTGCACAAATTAAAAACGCCTCAAATGCTTTTGTGAGTTCCCAAAAAAACAAGTGGGCTTTTTTGGATTAGATGCCTCTTCAAATAGCTACGTATGCTCCAGGCAGGTATTTAAGACTTGAAAATAGAATACCTGTTTTTCCCATAACTAGTTTTAAATTAAAAAAAAATTAAAATCATTGAGGGGGGCAGGGGGGCAAACCCAGGGCTTGAAGAAAATATGAAGTGTTGCCAAATCTATTTCAGTAAGAGTCATTTATAATTTCTTTTGAATTAATAAACACGACTGGGGAGAATTTTTCAGCACCTTTCAGCTGGCTGCCCATTGCAAAGGCGTACGGCTTATCCTGAGCTATTGTGAACGACACTAGCGCTCCAACAAAGAGCGAAAGAAAGATGGGGGGGTGGGGGGGGAACATGTTTGAACCTGATTTCCGAGCTAGAAAAGAAGCTTGCGTGCCTGGGTCACAAAGAAAGCCCAAAACCTTGTGCTACAGTATGTCCAGGCTTTTGTTTGCTTGAAGCCATAACATCTGCTCCCCATAATTTAAATAAGGAATAGACAGACCGTCAGACATTCAAAAACCTATGAGACCAAAACAAATCCAGCATAACCGTGCTATCAGAGTCTGTTCCTGCAAGTGTATTTAGCTGAGAGAAGTCACAGTTTCAATCAATAAAACACAGAAGGCAGCTTTCAATGTAGAAAGGAAAAACAGATGAAAGACCCTCTTTAAGGACAGCAATCCTCGAAGGACAGACAGACATAAAAGCACACCCAGACAGCACACACACGTTTACTACCACGATGTTTTTCTTCAGAAGCAAACTGCTATCGTGGGAAGGCAATACATGCAACCAAACTCTCCAGAAATGAGCGCGTAATGTCTGCCTCACAGCTGCCTTGGATGCCAAGAGCACCGCAGAGGGTGGAAGGGTACGGTCCCTCACTTGGCAGTACAATGAAAGCACTGCAAGTTTCCATACACTTTTATAAAAATAATAGAAATGTAGGTTTAGGATGTTAAATGTTAATACAACTAAAACTTAAAAAAAACCAAACAAACAAAAAAACCCACCACCATTTTAGTTACATATAATGAAAGTAGTTATTCTCAAAAAAAAATCCAAATTCACTATAGTTTATAGAAATTAGATATTCAAATGGCATTGCTTAAGTGTTCATGTATGAGCACATACTGGGCAATTCAAAATCGAAATCCATTTGCCCCCAGTGCTTCTGTTCCTCGAAGAAAGCCCCATAATCACCAGCTCCACTTCCTGCTACTTCTGTGTTTTCCAGTATCCCCAAGCGTTCTGCCTCACTGCCTCTTTTTCTCCGTAATACAGTTATTTGTCAGCTTTGAACTCCTACTACCACCACAATTTTGGTACCAATTCGTTAAAGGGAAAAAAAAAGAGCATAACAACATAGCAGCATAATTCAGAATTCTCTAGGTATCTAACCAGACATCAAAATAACCCAACCTATAGATTCTTCACAGACACACAACCAAAACACTTGCTTAAATATTTAACAGTGTTGTTTTCTGCAAACCTGCACACTGTCAGCATTATAAAAGCACATCAAAACAATTTCCATCTTACAGAAAGACTATTAAGCCAAAAAAAATAGCCTTAAGTTGTAGAATCTACCAGGGAAAATAACAGGCCACATTACATAAGAGCAGAGCTGGTGACTGAATGTGGGGTTTTTTTTGAAAGCTCAGGCCAGAAAAGACACCAACGCACCTGTTTTTTCCTTGATCTCACACAGCACGCTGAAAAGAGCAGGCTTCATTCTGTGGCAGTTCAAGGCATGTTTTCTGAAACGGAAGAAGAAAGAATGAGTGAACGCCAACAGGAAAGGCAGCGAGAGATGCCACGGCTTACAGGGAACTGGATCACGCTTCAGTAATAGCAGGTTAGCGCATAAGATTAAGACAGAAATGTGCTAGTTCTGATGATATATTTAAGTGCCATACTCAGCCATCACTGGGAGCAAACTGTCATAAAAATATGCGGGTCTTAAAATTCAAAATTCTGCGTCGCTTATGGGAACTGTAAGCACCTTCAGTTCTATATGTGGGGATAAAAAGTTCCTTCTTGAGTTAGTATGTGTCTATGAAATCTAATAATGAAATCAATCAAAAAAAAAAAAGTAGGAAAAAAACAGTGGGTTTAGAGCATATAGATCCTGAACAGCAGGGAACAACATAGAATACAGGTACCACTCACTGACTCGCCCAGCTCACACAACAAGCGGCCACCTGATCCAGTGAAAAGCAGGTTGTATTTAACAACATTTTAGCACAAGTTTTACCACACGTGCTAATATTGCCTTTTTGAAGCTCTTCCAGCGTTTGCCGCTTTTTTTTCCCCTTTCTCACCAGGAAGAGGCAATGTTAATTACACCATTAACACAGAATCCATCCTAAAGTCTAATAAAAACAGAGAATTACATCTTTTGCCAAGTTTAAAACACGCTTAAAGTGTGGTAAGTGCCATATGAAAGCGGGAGCTGAGGTTTCCCACAGAGGGTGGGCGGTGATTTTACCTAGCAGTCGCCGATTTTCAAGGGCAGCCAGCACTTAGGTGCCTAACTTCCACTGGAAGTCAGTGGAAAGAAGTATCTAGCTGCAACATACACCTCAAAGAAAGTCCCTCTTGCTTCTTGTGACCTCTTTTGTATTTCAGAAGTAATATTTAAATCACCTTTATAGCTAGGTTTCAATATGCTTTTTTATATAAATGCAAACTGGCCTTCATTCTTGCACGCCAGTCACTTCTCCAGCTATTGGGAACGGCGCAAATCCAGGTGTTCGGCTTCCTTCAACCCGTAA